AGAGGGTTTGTTACTGAAGTGTGCCCAATGACCATACAAAATAACTTTACTCTGTTCTGCAAGGGGTAATTAAAGGCTTTCCATCAGTCCCTGGGGGTTAATTGCTGCCTGACCCTCAGTTGGGAAATCTTGTGTTTTGCCTCTTTACCCCATTCTCTCTTTCAGCCTCTGCAAAAAGTACATTGCTGCAGACTACTCTGTGTTGCAACACAGAGCAACTAACTGGGACCCAACGTAAAGGAAGCTGCAGAAAGCTTGGAGAGCCACTTGACTCTATTTCTCAATTAAAACCTTTGTCCTTCTCCCTGAAATACTCGGCGTGCGGAGTGCAGGTCAGCGTGGTGGAGCGGGACAGGTAGGAAGGTGGTTCACCAGAGCATGGCCAACTCTACCCTAAACTAAGATATATCTGCTTCCCTGGGTGCAATAACACTTGAGGTCCTTCTGAGGTTCTGCTGTCCGTTCACACATGGGCAGGTCAGCTCTCACTGGTGGTTTTTGGTGGTTGGATGGGAGGAGCAGATAGAAAGCTTTGCGTGTGCAATACTTCTGCGTGCAATACGCTGGAAGGAACTGGGCTGCAGTTAGCAGCCAGCGTGTTCCTGACATCTTCAGACGTGTGCAGCTCAGGCAGAAGAGATTATAGGAACTGTATTTAATCATCTATCTACAAAATGAGTAATTTATAAGGCTGAAAAGTCATAGGAGGCTGTAGAGGGGAAAGGCCTGGGTAATACATGAGGAGTGCTCAGCCCTGAATAGATCACCTCATGCACAGGCCAGGATGAAAAGGAGGGCTAAACATTCCAGCTTTTTCAGAGAATATTAATTAGATAGCTACGCCAGCATGAATTCATCCCCTTTGGAGAGTATTTCGTCCCACTAGTGTTGTCTGAAGCTAAACACAATAGCCCTGACATACGAGCTCGCCGTGTCTCCAGGAAACAACTAAAGACTTTGCACATTTCCTGTTCCCCGGTGATCAATGCTGAGTCTGAGAGAAAGCCACCGGGTATGATTGGATTACCATCAATATTGTATTCCCATTCAGAACAGCCATCAGAAATGTCTGCTCCTTAAAAAGCACAATGTAAGCAGGAAATAGTTATTTACTCTGTGGATTTTTTTTTTTTCCTATAAATACCTATTAAGGGAATAAAAGTAATTAAAAAGTTAGCGTTTGAAGTGAACAGTGGATACCTACAAGAAGAAGATACCTATTGTGCAGCTGGCGGTAGAGGAATAACCAGATAATTACTATCACCAGGTAGCTGGATGTGAAGGAGTAATCCCATCACTGCACTGGGGAACTTCCCACAGTGCTTGTAGAAGGGGCACAGCCTTTATAGCTGATCAGGTTATACACATATGGGTACAACAAGTTGTGCCAAACATACTATTCATTATTCCTACTAGAACTTTTTATTTTTTTCCTAAGGACACCAGGCTAACAAAATCTTTTTTTCCCCCTCTTTCTTTTTTCTTTATTTTGTATTTTCCTTCTGTTTTTTAACCCCTGGCTTTACACAGCTTCCTCTCTGTCCCTAATCAGTTTGTCAGATTTCATTGCAGCTGGCTGAAGCAGGTAAGTCTGGAATAGGTTTGCTGTACTCCGTGCAGCCTTGTGACCCACACCTCCACCCCACCGAAGGAAAGCCCTCCGTGTCCCCTGCCCGTGAACCTGCAGGTCTGGCTGGCTGGGTAACCGGCTCCACATCATGTGGCTCCACATCAGCTGGAGCGCGCACGCCCTCGTGGCTTTGCCCCCTCATAAAACCATGAAGCAGCAGGACTGCGGTGTGGGAGGAAAGCTTGGGAAATCAGGAGGGGCACGGAACGTGAGAGGGGAGCCGGGGATATTTTGGGAGATGCACAGGGCACAAATGACACGACTCCCTCAGAAACCGAGCTTCTCAGTTCAGCAGCTTCCCCCCAGACTGTGAATGTCTCCTCTGCTGCTTCCCACGTTGTGCAAGCACCTGAGCATCCCCCGGCTAGCTCGTCCTGCTTCTAACACATTTAAGAGAAGCAGGAGCTGCATCTGATCTCAGGCAAGGCACGAGAAGATGTTATCTCCATCCCCCTGAAGCAATGCTGGGTGCCATCAGAGCTGTTGCTGGTGGAGGGGAAAGCTGCTTCGGGTTGCCAAACCAGTCTCCATGATATTTGAAAAGTCATGGCCATCATGAAGTCATGGCAGAGGAAGTCCCCAGCAACTGGAAAAAGGGAAACATTGCACCTATTTTTAAAAAGGGTAGAAAGGAGGACCCTGGGAATTACCAACCTGTAAGCCTCAACTCTATGCCTGGGAAGATCATGGAATGGATCTTCCTGGAAGCCATGCTAAGGCACATGGAGGATAGGGAGGCAATTTGAGACAGCCAGCATGGCTTCACCAAGGGCAAGTCCTGCCTAACCAACCTCATGGTCCTGCTTCTTTTCACGTAGCCCAGCAGGTCGAGGGAGGTGATTCAGCCCCTCTGCTCTGCTCTGGTGAGACCCAACCTGGAGTACTGCATCCAGCTCTGGAGCCCTCAGAAAAATGAAAAAAATAGACCTCTTGCAGCGAGTCCAGAGGAGGGCCACAAAAACGAGCAGGGGGATGGAACACCTCTCCTGTCAGAACAGGCTGAGGGCATCGGGGTTGTTCAGCCTGGAGAAGGGAAAGCTCCAGAGAGCCCTTATTGCAGCCTTTCAGTACCTAAAAGGGGGTTATAAGAAAGATGGAGAGAAAATTTTCAGCAGGGCCTGTTGTAAAAGGATCCAAACAGTTGGGCTGAACCTCCTCGACTTGGATACAACTCTCACTGCGTTTCTTTTCCTAATGATAATTTTAAAGCATTGTCCTGTTATTGTACAGGCTGATCGATTTGAGAAGTCAGTATTTGTGAGCGTTTTTCAGGTTGCAGTTGGGTCACTTCCATGAGCGGCCGTGTCCCCAGATGCTCATCTCTGCTCTCCAGACCCCTCCCTGCTGTGCTGACACAGACATTTGGTGTGGGGAACCGCAGAGATGAAGCGATCCGGATAAGAAATAATCCACCATAAGAAAAGGTTTATTTTTCAGCCAGATCAGTCTCCAGCAGCAGACGGCAGCACCGTGGTGAGGATGAGCAGTTGGGGATGACAGGCTGCTGTTTAAACTGTGCCGCTGCCCCCAGATCACTGGTGACTTCTCTCCCCAAGTCTTTAGGGTCTAACAGAAGCTGTAACACAGAAGTATATGTTTAAGGGTGAAAGTCAAGTGTTCCCTGAAAAGCAGGCAAGGGAGCAAAATGGGAACAGAGAAGACCATACAGAAAGGCTCCTCACAAAATAACAATTACCAAAATACTTATTCTCGAAGAAAAGGCCTTCTGGCCCATTCCATTTAATTTATTACCTCCAAATTGTTCTGCTGGCTGCAGCCCCATCTGAAATGTAATGCTGTGTGCAACGTGACATGTGTTTCTGCTGATGTCACTCAATAGTCACTTTCCCACACACTTACTGACACAGAAGCAGGGAGAAAAAAATACATTTTTTGTTTCTCACAAATTCTGCAACTCTAATCCTGGGAAAAACATGCTAATGGACCTCCCAGGAACATATAATTTCTTTCCCACCTCCAGTACCCTCATAGACCTTTTTTTCCTCTGTTCTGTCCTAGCATCTATTGTGTTCCCAGTGCATCAACGTTTGCAGGTGTGAGAACATGTAAGTGGAAGGTGGAGTATGAATCACTGGGACTAACTGGTAGAAAAGGGGGTAGAGGCAGTTAGAGAAGAATAATTTGGGAAAGCAAACCACCTGAGAAGCTGCTTTCTTCTACTGTCCTTCCTTATATTTTCAGAGAATAACATGTATCTAGGTGAACGTGTGGAGCCTCCAGCTCACTTTTGTCCTAGGAGAGCAAGTCACTAGAGGAACCCCAATGTGATGCTTAACTGTACCATGAGCATCACTGTTCCTCTGGCTGTTCCCCCCTTCATCCACATTGTCTCTGCTGAGAGACAGACTGTTCTCTTGCCAGTTGTAAGTACGGATCACAGGCACGCTTAACTCAGTTCCTTTGCTCATGATGCTTACTAGAGGGGGTAATATAAATTGATACATTAAGATTAAAAAGATAGAACCAGGCATCATCCTAGAATCTTCACATCACAGGACTGGGTTCTAGCAAAATTTTAGCTGTGCTTAGCAGAACTTAGTGTTTTACTGATGCAGCCTAAGTATTTTTTTCTTAATTTTCTTGTGTTGTTTTGGTTTTTTTTTTCCCTGATTTTTTCTAGAAGCAAGAGAGGTCTGAGCATAAAAATATGTTAGCCTAAATATACGCATTCTCTTTTTCTGAGGCTGCCAGCACAAAACTGAGGAGTTCTTACGATTCTTTACAATGCAAGATAGAGAACTTTCTTTGAGGAATATTTCAGATAACTGTAGTTAGAAACAGTTTATGTAAATATTACAGTGACAGGGCCGGAAGGTGTGTGTGCAGCAGAACAGGGAAATGGCACACAGAGAAATGGGGGAGGGGAAGTGAACAGGTCAGAGGCACCCGTGGGTGAGTCTGGTATGATTTTTTGGATCCTGTGGACAGCCCGTTACAAATTTTGGTGTAGCTGATGAGCCTCCCCAGCTCAATGAATAGGTCTGTAATGAATTAATTACAGACCGAGACAGCCAGAGCTCTCAGCACGTCAGCGTGTCAGGGTGGAGATGCAGATACAAGCGTCTGGCGGTAACTCCGAAGCGCTGATTTCCCGCTACAGCGTCGGGGGAGCGATCTTTCCCTCCGGGAGGGAAGGCAGGGAAAGGGCTGGAGCCCAGAAAAGCAGCCGGCTCCCGGGAAGGGAGGGAAGGAGGGAAGGAAGGAAGGAGGGCAGCCGTGCAGAAGGAGCAAGACGGGGCAGTGCCGCAAAGGCGTGGCCGCAGGAGCCGGTAAATACTCCGGACCCATGCCCGGAGCGCACTCCAAATCCTGGCTTTGGGGCAGGGAAGGGTTTTGGTGAGGTTTGTGCAGCTCTAGGGGACAGGCGGGTCCCAGCAGCGCTGTCCTTCCCCTGCTCTCCATGGGGACCACGGAGCGGGAGTGAGGGACCCGGTTGCGGTGCGGTCCCCGCCCCGGCAGCCCCGCAGTGTCTCCGGCAACTCGCCTTTGGCTTCTTAACCCGCTGCCACACGGCTCCCCCGCCTCCGGATTTGTCTTCCTGGCCGGCTCCCCTTCCCCTTCTTCCGAGCATCCCTCCGCCGGCGTAGTCACATGTTCGGGCTTTGGTGCCTTTAATCCCACCCTTCGCCGCCCGAGAAGGGGAGGAGAAAAATTTGCGGGAGAGAAGTGAGCAACAAGCAGAGCGGCGCGATAAAGCAGGCGGCGGAGATGCACGGACACCCCCTCCCACCTTTTCCCCTCCCGGGGCTGCGGGGCGCGGAGGCTGCGGGACCCCTCCCGATGCCTCGGGTAAGGGCAGATCTCTCGGCGTGGGGCGGGATGTCCCGGGGGGAGGAAGAGGAGGGGGAGGAGGGGAAGGAGGAGGCTGATTCTCTCTTCTCTTCCCCCCCAGAGTGTCTTTGGGGTCCCCCCGAAGGGAGGGTTGCGGGGGGTGTTTCTGTCCTGCCGAGCCCCCCGGGGGGGTGGTTGGGCGAGGGGAGGCGCGGAGTTACCGGCCCAGGGAGGGGGGAAGCGGAAAGCCCCCGGGGAAGGAGGAAATGTTTTGTGTTCGCTGTGAGGATGTGGCTGTAGGTGGTGACGAGCAGAAGGGAGGGTGGCCGGAGCTTGGCTGGGCCTCCAGAAACGGTCCTTCCCTTAGGGAAGGTGAATGAAACTCTTTTAAGGAAACGAGGGGGGAAAAAAAAAAACAAACAAAAAAAACCCAACCAAAACAAAACTAAACAACCCAGCCAGCTTCCGCCCTGTGCTTGGTGCCACCCAAAGCATGGCCAGAATGTCTCTGGTGTCTCTGGTCAGAAGTCCTGGCAAGGGGTTGGAGGTCTGGGGACACTGACGTACCATCTGCTGTTTTGCAAAGAGGGCAGAGAGCGGGGGGGGAGAAGGGGAATCAGCTTTTTTTATCTAACGCCCTCTCCCCTGTGACCATCATCCCTAAGGTAACTGCTATTAATCCCAGTGATTTAAGGGTCACCTTGTGCTACCTGGCAGCTCTCCCAAAAGGGACAGAGGAGCACCTCAGAAACCTCAGGGCTGAAGTCGTGGACATATTTTAAATGACAGGGAGGAAATCTGCAGCTGTGCCGCTGGTGGTGCAGCTAAACCTGAAACTACACCAGTGTGCACCACAGGTTCAGGGGCTGGCTGGCTCTGGTGCAGTTGCTGAGAAGATAATTTTATGTAAAACCAATGGGCTGCCATAAAGGCACAGCAGGTCCAGGTTCAGAAAGCCTTTGCAGGCACAAAACCCAGGAGAAATACCCTCCTCCACCTGTGAAATCTCTGTCCAACAAGGGCGATACTAATTATATAACAGACCATTTTTCAGCTACCGTTTTTATCCCATTTTATTCCCCTGGGGCTCAAACGGATCACCAGCATCCCCCAGAAGCAGGGCATCCCGTTGGCCGTGCCTTTCCGTGCAGGATGAGCAGTCTGTTTCGCACGTGGTGGTGGGGAGGGAAGGAACCCTGTGTATTTCTCAGACAGAGAAAAGGTCAGCAGCGCTGTTGAACATTAGTAGACAGTGTCTCTTCAAAGGGAAATGCTGCTTCTTGACATGACTAGACATTTCTTCCTTCAGAGGTTGGAATGAGAACACTCTGGTTGTTACCTGGTACAGTTTTCTGTTTTTATTGCTGCATAGAGCTATCCCAGCTGGAAACGTACAGCCTTATCAAAGGCCTTTGCTCACAAAAATAATATCCTGTTTCCTTATTACCATGTTTTATTCTTTACAGTCATAAGTGAACAACAGTAAAGGTGCAACATCTTCTCTGTTTAGCAGCCATCACCACTGTCCATTTCCTTTGCTTTCCCTCACAGAATCACATGGGGTTGGAAGGGACCTCTGGAGATCATCTAGTCCAACCCCTCTACCAAAGCAGGTCCACCCAGAGCAGGATGCATGCATCCAGGTGGGTTTTGAATGTCTCCAGAGAAGGAGACTCCACCACCTCCCTGAGCAGCCTGTTCCAGGGCTCTGCCACCCTCAAAGTAAACAAACAAGTCCCTCCTCACGTTCAGATGGAACTTCTTATGCACAAGTTTGTGCCCATTTCCTCTTGCTCTGTCACTGGGCACCACTGAAACAGACTGGCCCCATCCTCCTGACACCCTCCCTTCAAGTATTTACAGATGTTGATCAGATCCCCCCTCAGTCTTCTCAAGCCTAAAAAGACCCAAGTCCCTCAGCCTCTCCTCATAAGAGAGATGTTCTAGGCCCCTCACCATCTCAGCCCCCATTCATCTACCTACACCCCCAGCCCTACTGTTGCAGGTAAATTATTGCCATCACTGTGGGACTAACTAAAAGGTTTTACTAATGATTAAATGATGATCAAATTATAATAAATCAATGATTGAATGTTAAATTACAATCAAATTATGATTAAGCAATAACTGAATTATAATTAAACGGTGATTTAACAATAAATAATCAATAATTAAGTTGTAATGAAATGGTACTTGAAAAATGATTTAATTGATGATGGTGGTAAAACACTCTGCTGCTTACTACACTTGTAATACTTAAGCTGTAGCTGGATATATAACTGTTGCTAGCATACAACACACCTTTAGGCCAAGTGTAAAATGTAACTTACCTTGTTACAGATGCTGGCTGTGGTGTGAGGGGTGACCCCCTGCTCCAGGGGAGATCCCCACTGCCACTCCAGAGCTCAGTGGGCTCGGGGTGGGGGCTACAGATACCTGTGGCATCGAGTGATTGACTCACAGGCTCCTTAGTTGCTGAGAAGATTCAGCCCAGCACGGTTCCTCACGGTTTGCACAGCAGGGCTGATCTGTGGGTGATGCCTGGAGACCCAAGTGCTGCTCACAGAATGGGTGCCCCCATCACACACACCCCAAATCACAGACTCTCGGGGAGCTCATTCGTTGCTCTCTTGCAGGCTGTGAAATGGCTGGTTCCCTAGCAAGCCCCGAGGGCACAATTACATGCAGAAGTGGCACAGAAGAGCTAGGTGGAAGGAGCTATTCCGCAATAGCTGCACTGGAATAACTTATTCCTGCCACTCTGGAATAGCTCCTCTGGACAGGCTTCTGCAAGACCAAGAATTCTTCGTCCTCATCTGTCCATTTGCTTTAATTTGCAAAGAGTTGCTATCACTTCAGCAAATCACATTTAGTAGCTCTTTTTTTTTTTTCAACAGTTACTCCAGATAATTTACCTCTGTGGATTACCAGTATGATTAAAATATAAAATGCTAGTTGTTCATGACAACAAAACCAGGCTGATTTGTAACACGGAAAACCAGATTCCCTCCTGTCTTTTATATTCTTAAGCTGAAGATCCACTAAGGTAGAAATTACATCTCGCTGTATTTGCGTATGGTATCTCATATGCAGGGGCCCTGGTCTTATTTTAGCAAAAGTCTATAACACGAGTAGGTAAAATACCAATTATCTATAGCACCTCTGATGAGTCAATGCACATTTAGCTCTGAGATTCCAAGAGCTGACAGCAAAAGGTAACAAAAAGCTGGTGGCACTACGAGCAGCGGCTTTGTCTAATATAATTTTTCTTTTTTTTTTAACAAATAGGGATGTAAATCTTATAGTAAAGCACAAGTGAGCTTAACCCAAAAGCCACATACAAGGTTTTAGAGGGCTCCAGGCAGATCTCTGAAAATATGCAGCAGTTTTTACACAGATCATTATCAAATTCCCTGACAACATATCCTTTTTTTTTTTTTTTAACCTCTGGCTGAAAAGAAAATGTACATTCAGACAGATACAGATTGCATAATTAATCTTAGCACGTAAAGCCATGTAAACCTTTGGTGTCAGTCTTCTACAAGACAGCTCCTCAAAAAACTCCTTGCTTTAATTTTCTGTCTTAAGCTATTATCTTGCAGAACTCTCTTCTCCAGGCTGCTTTCCCCTCCCACCCCATCTGTGTCCTGACCCCACTGCTTGACAGGGAGAGGGAAGAACACTGGAAATGGAGGAAGTATCTTCCAGCTGCCACGTCCGTGTACCTTGCCTGCTAGTTCAGTAGCTTTCAAACGGCGGTCCCTGGGTTTCTAGGGATTTATGAACAACCTGTAAAAGTTGCCTACAGTTAAATGAGAAAAGCAGGTCAGCCTATCACTAAATTTACATCCAACATGCAATTCTGCAGTTTTTGGGGTTTCGTAACTGCACGGTGTTACTCCCTCTGTATCTGTCCATTTTCACTTTTCTAATAGTGTTTAAATTCCATCTTGTTGGACAGAAAAAGTTTTTATATCCATTGACAGGCTTTGAGGAATGGCAGATCAAAACAGATGTCTGTGTCATTGATTTCTGCTGCTTCTACCATGTAAATCCTGCAAAGGGGCAAGTCCAAACCCTCTCTACATGCCCAGCTACTTCTCTTAGGCTTCAAGCTACCACTAACCTGTTAGACTGTGGCAGTTCTATGTCCTTAGTACATAGACCATAAAACCCAAAAAGTTCTAAGAGCACTGAGAGATCAAGCACATCACCAGCAGCTCTGGTCTTTGCCATAGCAGGAAGCATATTAGGTGAAAGTTAAATTAAACAACCTGGCTTATTTAACATTCATTGTCTAGAAATAGCATAATGACAACTGCTTCAAGCAGTGCTTGAAGTAAAAGAGGTAAGAGATATATTTGGTACCTGCTAGCATAATAAAATCAAAGAACAACTGCTGAGCTCTTACCATTAAGGTTCTGCTGAATGTTTTTAGAAGCACAGCCTGTGCCAGGATGGTTTGTATTGTCTAGGGAGCCCAGCTCCCAGTTTGGCATCCAAGTGTAACAGTCAGATCTGTGAGTGCTTGGCTTCTACCAGACACTGTTTTTTTTCACGGTGAACATGAACACATTGCAGAAATACTATCTGGCACCTGACCTACTAAAAGCTGTCAGAAACAAGAGGAATTGTGGCTGAGAAAAGCTGGCCATCTCATCCTGTAGTAGGGATCAGCTCATGGTAGGCACCTCAGGTTTCAGAAGCTGAGGATATCTGTACACAACAGTCAGCTGTCAGCATGCATATAAGAAACACGAGGGGATTTATGTGGCTCTGTCTGACTTTGTGATGGTCACATCAGTTTCCTCGGGCTCAAGGAGGAGTGTTTGCTGGTGGATCAACAATATCACAGCCGAGACAAAGCTCTTGTCTCTGCCAGAGAGGATTAATTAATAGAGGAGCTTGGTCCCGAGGCTGCAGCTTGTCCACACAATGTTATTTTGGGGCGCAGAAGTGATTTTTGCACAAAGGTTTCAGTTTGGGATGCCACTACAGGATCAACACACAAGTCAAAACTACAGTTTGTGTGAACACCGATGCTGCTACCACTCTTGTGGGCACTGTAGCAGCTCACCTTCCCATGACGTTTTCTGACAGCTTACCTTTCTTTCTCACAACACCACTCCATGGCTGCTGACCATGTGAGTTCATCCAGCTGTTTTTATGTTAGGAAAGAAATGGCTTTTCCCATTGATACTGAAAAGAAGTGTAGTTAGGCAAAAGCAAATCATTTAATATTGTAATCATGATGGAATAATTACAGCCTTGTCTCACGGAGCAGGCAGTAGAAGACAGAGATACCCTCTCTTAAATTAGCTAACCAGGAGCTTCCTAAAGTTTTGCAGCTTTGAAACATGTAGAAAGCTTTGTTCCAGGTATGTTTGCCCACAAGAACACCTCTGCAGAGAGGAGTATGGAGCAGAGAGAAAACCATCTTTCTTGTTTAAAGCAGTAGCACAGCAGACAGTATCCAGCACCCCAAAGAGGGCATTACTAATATTTCTGCTCTTCCTCAATGTGTGCAGAGGTAACTTTTTCCTGAACAGTGTAATTCAGACAAGTAATTAGGGGATGAACAAAGATTGGAACGTAGATATGGAACCAGGTAGTCCAGGTGCTTTTGGAAGGAATCTTCATCATGAGGATCTAAGTAAAGAAACAATACAAATATATAGCTTTATTTTGCCATAGCTTCTAAAAATGTTTAAGCAATGGCTCAGTTCTACACAGAACATGTAAGAGTGTCCTCCACTGCAAGTGTTTGCATGGTTGCAAAGCAGTTACTATTCAGGACTCGTACAGGTTTTTTTTAAAGCACTATAAAATCCAATTCTGATTCTGGATTTTCTCCTCAAACTGTGTTCTTCTGTCAGAAATGCCACTTAAATACCCAAAGAGTAACATTTTTTTTTCCCTAAAAAGGGGGAAAAAATGAAGGTGACAGTATTAATGACATCTGAAAGCAGAGTAGCTTCTGTAAAGTCAGAACCATCCTAATGACTAGAAAGCAGTCTGACCAGAAACTCTGGATTCAGATAAGATCAAACTTCACCTCTGTAGAAGCAATACATTTCTATTTAGATTTGGAACTCTTGGCTTCCCAGTGTTACAGCCAAAAAGTCTGGAGGAGGTCAGTGTCCCCCTCTTCTCTATCTCCTTCAGCTTGTTTTTGGCATGAACTAGAGTATTTGACCCACTTAATTAAAGTTCCTGACCATTTTTAGCCTCTGTGCTTCTTCCACCACCCAGTGAAAGCAGCCTTTTCCTCTGCAAATAAACGGATAAAGAGAGTGGCAGTCAATTTTGAGCACTAATACCCAGGCAGTAGAGGAAGATCTGCAGAGAGGCAGAAGTGCCTATTTGATGGTTGCTTTCCCTTGAGGTGTTCTGAGTTGCAAAACCAGGGTAAGAGTTCTAAGATCTTGAGTAGTGTTATTGAGGGGGTGAAGCCAGGGTAAGTCAGAACCGCTGACACTGTGACCTGCATGGCTGGCTCCCAGACCTCTGTGCTTTTCCAGAGCTACTTTTTCTCAGTGTTTTTTTCAGCGTTTCTTTGTTGTGTGGAGCGAGGAGATGTCTCCCCGAGGTGGTGGTGCTCTCCTCACCACGAGCTGTAGGTGGAGTTCCAGCACAACTTTCCCAGCAGGCAGGGCCGGTGGAGAACTGACCAACAGGCTCAAAGGGAGGCCAGGTCACCCACAGGGACCTGGGGAGCACCTGCTCGTGGTGCGGGTGAGCTTCACCCTTGAACAAGAAGAGCAGCTTCTGCATCCTTGGCTGCAGAAGAGCAAGACCTCAGGCAAGCTTCCCTTTGATTCATCTCATGAGGATGCAGCCCCACAATTCATCTGGCCACCAGCAAACTTCATCTGGCCACCAGCAAACTCTTCCTGCTGCTGCAGGGAAAAAATGACACTCATTTCTGCCTTTTCAGTAGAGGACAGTATGAGGGAGAAGGCCTCTTGCTTGAGTGGGAATTATTAATCCGTCCCTGTGTATCCTGAGAGCTACAGAGCTCACGGCAAGCTCATAGTTTTTGTAGCTCAGATCTCCAGCACAGCTGGGCAGATGGAAAGTAAGTTTCTTTACTGCCCGAGAACTAAACTACCTTCTAGCTTTTCTTCATCTCCTTTTCCCTATGTGGTCTTCACGTTCAAGTTTGGAGGCTGACTCGGTGACAGTGCCAGCAATGCTGCTTGCATTAAGTAGAAGCTCAAAAGTGTGCCACTGTAAGGTGCAGAGTATGATTCTGCACTTGTGTCTTCCCTTAATGTTTGTGACTGGTTAGCAAAAAATGATAAAAAGGAAAGCACTGGATATTGAACAAATAAGCACATTTAAATGCCAGGTGTTTGCATCTGATGGATTTCAGGTTTTCAACCATCATGGCTTTGATCTGGCCACTGAAGTGCAGCCATCACCTGTGAGGTCTTTACAAGGTCCACTGATGCAATACAGTGCAGTGTCTGTGAAACAGGACTGTGTAATCACAAGAGAAAAAAGTGGGCAGGAACTGCAGATTTTCATGCATCAGTGTAAATTTGTTATCTCTGTTTAATTACACTGAGTCTTGTGTTTCTGTGAATCATAAGATACCAGAACACTGATGCCACAGTCTATCCAAGGACAGTTTGAGATATCACAGCACAAAGTGCTTGGTCTCTAACTACTGTTTGGAATAACTCTTGTATATTTTCCATTAATCTTAGTAAAAGGCCCTTCACAGAAGATCGTCAGATTCCATATAGCAATAGGAAGCAGTTCTCTTAATGGTAAATACAGCAAATCTGTGACTACACTAATGAAGGCAGTTCTGAAGTACTCTCAGAATTAGATGCTGCTCAGTGTCCTCTGAGCCATTTCTTCTACACGGTCCATTCTTCTGAGACAGAGAAGACAAGCCAGAGCCCTGATGTCTTTCCATCCACACATCATTGCTTACACTGCTTCAGACAACAGTGCAGAGAAGGAAAAAGGATAACATTTTGTTCTGGGAACACCATTTGATGATAAGAACTTGGTGAAGACAGGTTAAAAATGGGAGAAACTCTCCACTGAATGGGGCACAGTCAAGTCAGCCGGGGGGGCCTAAAATAATTCAGTTCATAAGGAGAGGGAGTGGAAAGTATAAGGGAGAGTCAGTAGATTAAGAGACAGTAGATTAAAAAGGGAAATTTCTGGCACAAGGGAATTCATTTGAACAGCCTAATTGCCCTGATTTTGTGTAAGCTTCTAACAGCCAGGCTGTTAGGTGTTCATGGCAGCCCAGAGAAGCAGAACAGAAAAGCTAAATATGGCAAAATCTAATTTTTGTGAAGGTGGATGTTTGCTGAAAGTGTGTGTGTGTATGTAATATATATATATTTATATAAATGTTACAGTTTTAAATTAAAGGCATATAATTCTAAATTACAAATATTTTAATAACAAATATGAGTCAATGGCTCAATTGCAACTTGTCAGTTTTGCTGTGACTGTATGTTTCACAGGGTCTGGGGAGGAGGAGACATCTGAGAGAGAGACAGACACACATTACACTTTGCGTACACATGGCTTTAGTGAAGTAAATTGGTATCTTTGGTATCATGCTTCACACTCTGGGGAGTGAAGTGAAAAAGCATGGGTTTGGAAGCGTGTGAGCAACAGAAGGGAAGCATGTGTCACTCCACAGAGGTAAAAGTTTGTCTCTCAAGTATGTGCCAGGCTAAGAGAGAAGAGATCTGGCTTTGATTCTTGGCTACGACCCAAGTCTTACTATGTCACTGTGACTAGATAGTGGTATCTAAGTTCTCTGCCTTCATCAGAGGCAGATCTCCACACATCCTGTTTCCACGTCGCTTGCTACCCTTTCAAGCAGAGTAACAAACACTTTGTTAAAGACTTTGTGAAGTCCTCTAGCTAAGCCATACCAGTGCCCCTACATGATGAAAAGGCCTTAGGGGCACTTTGCTGGAAACTAACTTTAGCTAATCTTTCCTCAACCTCCCATGAGAATTCTGTGATGCCCCCACCTGAAGGACACCTCAGGGGCCTTTTATTTTGGCCTACTCCGTGACTAGTCCTGAGCTTTCCATTTTCTCAAATCACAGTCTTAATCATCTTTTTTTTCTTCCTCTCTAGGCTTGGACAAAGCTGCTGCTCCAGGGATACCTTGCAATCCGGGGAGGATGCGTTGCAAGTGAAGGAATGAGGGCATGAACAGAGCAGGGGTGCCCTCCTTCTGCAGGAGCCATGCTACACCAAGCCTGCCGGCTCTACGGGAGGTGGTGCCGTTGGTCCAGTCCTGTTGTCCATCTCCTCACGCTGACTGTGGTGACATTTGGTGTGCTTGCCCCATTGCTTTGCCACCGGCTCCTCCACTCTTACTTCTATTTGCGGCGCTGGCACCTGAACCCCATGAGCCAGGAGTTCCTGGTGCAGAACCAGCAGGAGGGCCAGGCTGCCCTCCGTTACTTTGAGAAGCTGCAGATACCAAACACCTCCCAGGCCTCTGGTGGCGATGCCTTCCAGCCCTTGCTGCTGGTCACCATTATCACTGTGCAGAGGCGCAGTGATTTCCACTACGTCTTGCAAGTGGCCTCCCGCTTCCACCGCCTCCTCCAGAAATGTGGTGCACGGTGCCAGAGCCACCGCATCCTCCTCTGTAATGTGGAGTCAGACCCCAGCAGCCACCAGGATGTCAAGCTGCTGAGCAGCTTCTTTCCTATGGTCAGTCGTGACAAAGCTGGGGAGAGCCCTGACCCCAGGCTGAACCAGTTTGAGAAGGAGAAGCAGGACTACGTCTTCTGCCTTGAGCAGTCGCTGTTGGCGTACAACCCAGAATATATCCTCATAGTGGAAGATGATGCTGTGCCAGAGGAGGAGGTATTTGCTGTCTTGCAGCACCTCTTGTTGGCCCGGTTATCCAAACCATACCTCAGAGACGCGCTCTACTTCAAGCTTTACCATCCCGAGAGGCTCCAGCACTACTTGAACCCCGAACCCATGAGAATCCTCGAGTGGCTGGGTCTAGGCATGTTCCTGGGGCCCGTGCTGAACTGTGTGTACTCCTGGGCAACGGGGCGCCCCGGCCTCAGCTGGCCCATTGTCCTCTTCTTCGCTTTGTACAGCATGGCTTTGTCAGAGCTGGTGGGACGGCATTACGTGCTGGAGCTGCGCCGGCTGGCCCCCACGCTGTACAACATCGTGCCGGTCACCGAGTGCTGCACCCCTGCCATGCTTTTCTCTGCTTCTTCTGCCCGCCGTGCCTTAGGTTACCTGAAGGGTCTGCAGTGCCGACAGGGCTTCGCGAAGGACATTGCCCTCTACTCGCTGCTGCGGGCCAAGGGGGAGAACGCCTACGTGGTGGAACCCAACCTGGTCCGGCACGTGGGAATGTACTCCAGCCTTCGCCTCAACGACAACCCCAAACTGCTGTGAGCTGTCCATGCCTTTCCAGGTGCAAAGCCCAGGAGAACTTGCCTCTGGGCGGAGAGAGACGGTGTGTGAACTCAAGATGTGGTGCTGCTCGCACTGGGTATCCCGTGCCTCCAGGTGGACAAGAAGTTTAAAAAGTTTCTTAAGAAATAAACTTGAATACATGCAGATCCTATTTAATATATACTTGGAACTAGTCACCGTGCACCAGTTTTGGGAGGGTGAGGGTGGGGAATGGAGGATTCTAGCTAAGTGTTGTGAATTTTCTACTCTCCTTAACCATTCTTAAGGAAAAAGCTGTCATGCCAATATAAACAGCTACACTGCCTACTCTGCTTTACATTGCTTACAGAAATCCTCACCTGAGGGCAACAGAAATGTTGGACAAAGTGAATGTTCAAATTTAACCTAGTAAAGGGGGAAAAGCCCCTATTTTCCCATCCTTACGAATATCTGATCTCTGACCTCTGCTTCAAAGCTGTGGTTTTGAGCAGATCTTTTAAAAGCAACAATGGTTTGTGTGAACTTTCCCACAAATTTTGCCTCGATTCCTCAAGTTTTATGAAGCCTCTATTTGTTATTCCCTCCCCCTACAGATCCTAACCACCTCTCCACCCTTCCCACTCCTTTTTCTTGGAACACAGGATCTTAAAAACAAAGCCTCTGCTGCTTCGTTAAGGGTCACCAGTGAAGGTACGAAAAAGAAAACAGAACAACAGCAACTGATGTGACACAGCCAGGTCACAAATGCGTGTTTCAGTTGCTACATTATAGATATTATACACAACAAAGGATGACTACATGTTGATTAGTATAATCACTACCTGTAGCGGATCTAGATCGTTAAAAGAGGCCTTATCAGTTGCTGACTGGACTTAGACATTCAACATGAATTTACCTTGAGATCCTATCAGTACAGAGGCAAAGGAAAGGTTAGATCAGGCGCTGCTAGTGTGCAGGACCCTTGTTTCATGTTGGAGCTGTTGTTCATTCACTGCTCCTGGCAGCAAGCAACATACCCACAGGAATCAAAGCTGGCTGTTCATAAAACCAGGCAACAACAGCACAAATCATCAAGGGGCTGGTCTCATACTGACCCGTTAAGGTAACGTGCTCTGGTGGTTAGACATTTGGGATAAGTACTTTGTACCACAGCTGTGGCCACAGTTAAATATAAACCCATGCAGATGACAGAGATCTCATAGAGAATCAAAACTGGCACCAAAATGTTACTGTCTAATGAAAAACCCACCTTGACGTTAGTGGGCTTTGAATCAAATTCACTTACATGTGGAGTTTGGTTGAACTCTTTTTGAAACCATATTCCTAGCTTTGGAATGAATCAAATACAGTATTTTTTATTGAGTTTTCGTCAGTGGGGTGTGTTGGTTTTTATTTTGGTTTGGTTTGGTTTTGGTGACGGTAGAACTATACTTTGAATTTTCTCTCCCATAGTGTCTCCCAGGTGATTTATGTCTTAAACTCTTAAGAAGTGTGGTTTTAAATGTGAAAGACATAAAGCTCCTCAGAGAGGAAACCAAAGAAAATTCCAAACCTAGGGTTGTCGGCGCCTGATGGGTATCAATTACACAACACAAATTTGGAGTGCAAGTTAGCCAACTAGAAATGGCTTCACAACACAGAGCACTGCTTTGCTCTCTTAGTAATCAGCTGGGATACTTTTATAACACCTTTGGAAATCAGATGTGAGTAAAAATTGCTTGTGGATTCCATGTCACTCCGAAGGCAAAGCACCTCTTCTGTCAGAGGACACCGGAAAAATTGCACAGGCAGAACCACAATTTATTCCCAGCTGCTGAAAACCCCAAAGATACTGGAGTGGTCACACAGTGGCAGGGGGACAAACCTATTCTCAGGCTTTACTATGATGTGGTTAAGATGGCAGGATTTGAGTGTCATTGTCTATTTATTCCACTAAGTGCCTGCGTGAGGAAATACAACTTGTTTGTTTGTGTATCTTCAGCTGTGAATGTTTCCGTGCATTGTGCTTTCTCTTCACTCTTTTTCTATCTTTGTACTATACAAATCCAGGACAAGAAGAGTCCATTCATACTCATTCTTGGAAATGAAATCTCACAGCAAAGTACAATAAATGGGACAGGGTAAAGAAAAAGGAGGAAGGAAAAGAAAGAAAGGAAGAAAGAAAAAGAAAGAAAAGGAAAGAAAGAAAGAAAAGAAAGAAACCTTAGAAAAGAAACCAACTGACTATATGCAGTTAATAAATGCTTTGCTGTGGGAAATGATTTATCTGTTTGTCTCAAAAGTTATTTTTCTTGTTTGCCCAGTAGTACTTTGTCATCCCAGAAGTCCAGGGCAAGTCAGCAATTTCAGTGAGCTTCATAGCTGAAAATTAAGAACATGAATTTGAGGCATCCCTTCTAAACCAGAAGACAATTTTCAGGGCATAAGAAATGAGAGAAGTGTGACTGGGAGACCAAACAACGTGCAGAGGGCTGCAACTTGAACCTGCCAATGCAACAGTTTCAGATAAACCCGTTGAGGACAAGCTCCTTTCTGCAAGAAGCAGATGAATAAATTATTCAGGTCCTTCTGGAATAAATTCCTAAGTGCCCAGTTCGCCTTTACAACACAGGTGCTTCTTTTACTGAGCCTGCTGGGGGCTGTTTCTGAGTTACTCAGGTACTTGCCCAAAGTCCACCATTCCAATGTGGCATCTCAGGACAGTGTTCCTTCTTCTGCTGCCTCCGAACTTTCATAAGTAGTTTGATTTTTTTTTTTTTCTGTGCCACACATCTTAATAGAAAACACAAGTACACCGGAAGTGTACTTCGCCCTTGGAACAGAAAATGGGAGGTTACTGTGAGTTCTTAAGTCCTGTTGGATTTCCTTCCACAGTTTGGGATAAAAACGCAGTCTCAAACACACAAGCCTTTTCCCTCTCTTTTCTATCAGGGGAGCAGAGCTGAGTTGCTGTATCTCAGGCTATGTTAAGTTGAAGGTCTAGCATTAACTCTTTGAAATGAGGCCTTAAGAGTATGGTTTTATTCACATTAAAACAAACTTTGTGACTAATTTTGAAACAAACAATATGGATTATCTTGGGTGTTGGTCCATTCCCAATAGTGTGGAGACTATTTTTCAACACAGCAGCTATTGCTTGCAGAAGAGGATTCTTTCTCGACAGGCCGGACAGCGGGACTCAAGGCATTATTGTCTGAGACAATCCAGGGGAAGTTACTAAATTAAACAAAAACTACCTTTGTTTCCAGGGCATGTACAACACAAGCATGATTCTGGCAGAACACAAAGCATAAATTGATAGGTCTCTATTAGATTAGAAGCCCAAGAGGATTTTCTAACTACAGCAGGTATCAATGTCTTAGTGAGAAGGCACTGCATTTGAAGAGAGAACAAAAAAGTTGTCCCCTCTGTTGAGAGAAGCCATGAGTTGCCAGACTGGGTATTTCAACAGTGCTTTCGCTGGATTCAGGGTGAATAACTTTTTTTTTCCTAAAGACATTTACAAGCAAACTTTCTACCAAATAAACAACCTTTCTGTTAAAACTCTATTGTCTCTTATTTCTATATGTCACTGGTTTTTTTATGACTGGCAGATCCATCTTTCCTTACTATATTTGACTAAGAAAGAGACTTCTGTATTTGTGCATCTGCATGCACGTAATAATTTGGATCCTACAACAATTCAGGTTGAAAAAGACCTCTGAAGGTCCCGGGTCCTAAATTCCTCACTCAAAGCAGGTCTCATCAGACCAGGTTGCTCAGGCCCTTCTCCAATCAAGTACTGAGGCATTTTAATGGAGACCTGAGAAATTAAGCTCTGAGTGCCAGGATTTAACCTTAGTATACTTCTGTATAGAACAGCTATATATTTCACAAAATATAAAAGGTAATTTTCTGTGGGAGACAGTTGTAGTTACAAAGGCACTGGCAGTTTCTCTCCTGAAGTTAGTGTTTCTTTTTGTGTATTTCCATACCAGATTTATAGATGTTGTATCCAAATTCAGCAGATGGCAAGGTCCAACATATGGTTCTGAATAATCTTTAGTACAACATACATCTGCCAAAAATGCATATAGAATTAGGTACTCTATGCTCCGTGCTTCTTTACTTCATGTATCTCTGTTGCTAGAGTAACTTAATTTCCACAAACTACCTGTCCTGACAGCTGAAGCTTTGAGAGAATCCACCCCATCATCCAGTTTATTTACCCACCTATAGGTCCATTTCCAAGACTTTGTTCGGCATGTGAAGATAGGAATGACACATTGCCAGCCGTGTAACCACTGGTGATTCTTAAATTTTGATGAAGACAAATGGTGTTATGTGTTCTTGCCCTGTTAGTAAGGCTCTGGCCAGCGATGTATTCTTCAGGGCCTGATTTCTCTTTGTATTTCTGCTATGGTGTCCAGTGTTCCTCCAGAACTGTGCAGAAACCACATCTGCAAAGATCTTTCCAGCAAACTGGCCCATTTCAGACATCTACCATAGTGTGTATTTTGTGATTGTATGCCAACATTAACAAGTAGCACCTAAGTGTGCTTTTTTGGGGGACTACGTGCTGCTTAGATAAGCAGGTAATAAACAGTTAAGTGTCACCCATTATAGCAGCCAGTTGTTTGCTTTCTGGCTTTTTTAAAAACAAAAAGTCAACAGAAGGGCGAAGAAACCAGTGTCATTACTGCATTTATCTTCATGTCCTGTTACAGCTATTTTACACAGCCCAGAAAGCCTGTCACTGGCAACCTGATTTAAAGTTATATCCTTGTTTCACAGAATCACAGAATCACAGAATCTTAGTGGCTGGAAGGGACCTCTGAGATCATCGAGTCCAAGCACATTAAAAAAAAACGAAACAAACAAAAACAAACAAACAAACAAAAATACCCACCACAAAAACAACAAACCCCAAACCACCACCCACTAACTAAACCCCACACTCACAACCCCACACACTACACCCCACCACAAACCAATAATCTTGGGCACTAGAGCATGCCCTGAAGAGCCATGTCTACACGTTTCTTAAATACCTCCAGGGATGGTGACTCCACCACCTCCCTGGGCAGGCTGTTCCACTGCCTGACCACTTGTTCCAGTGCCATCCCCACTATTGAAATAACTATCAAGATTTGTGTTTCTGTAACACTAATGTTATGTTCTTGCTGGTTTTTCAGTCCAAGTCATGGTGTTTGTGGAAGCCCACCTTTAAGACTCAAAAGAACAAAGAGTAAGCCCTCAGTGCTCTTTGTGGGCCTGACTCACGTCTGCCCAACACGCCCCATATTCTTCCTACGTGTACGTGTCTGTGCAGCCAGAAATACGGGCCATTTCTTTCACTGGGGTTAAAGGCCAGACTCTCTGCATTGGAGGAGGGGGCTGCAGATGAGTGGGGAAAACAAACCACTTAATAAACAATAGCTCTGATTAGATAGGGATGAACAAGCTGGACTTTGAGACAATTAAGCAAGACTGCAGAGTACAGAAAACAGGAAACATCCAGCACAGTGTGGAGAGGTGAGGAGGAGGCAGACTCCACTCAGCTCAGGTCTGCTCTGATTAGACTTTAACCCCATCACAGAGACAGCACTCTCCCAGGGCACACAGAGCCACACGGTTTTCATGTGCGTGCATATTATACTCAGACATTCTTCCAGCTTGCAGTGTATTTTTCCATTCCATTTCAAACCTTTCTACAGGCCTGACCGCATAGAGAAGGGTTGAGGAGATTAATAGTACTTCATTTACTGAAGTGCAGAGAGAAGCTTTAACAACAACTTTTTTTTGTTTGTTTTTTGGTGACCATGTAATCTCTGAAATTGCTTCATGCGTTTCTTTTTTTTTATCTGCCTTTCTCAGATGTGCTGCAGTTTTCTCTCTTCACATTTACTTCTTATTTGCATTTAAAATGCTAGTTAATATGCATAATTAAAGGCAAAATTAGTATCAGAATGATACTGCTAGAAATACACAGGAAAAAGAGTCATTGACCTGAAAAAACATAAGCAATTCTGAAATATTTACCTGTTGCCTCTATACCAAGCTTGCCATTGATTTTTAAGTACTTAATCCACCAACAGTCTTCATTCAAAACTTCAATACAGAACTGACGGATTCTTTGACAGCAAGGCTGGATTATAACAAGGTCAGCAATTAAATTAACTTCCACTATAAAAATCCAGTACTTGCATTGTCAATTCAAGAAAGCAAAACCACAAATTAAGACCTAAATAGTAAACCAAGACACTGTAAATACTGTTTTTAGTTGTCTTTAAGAATTTTAAATATAAACTTCTGTCAACTTCTGTATAGTAACTTCAGATGGAAAAGTCAACATCAGCAAAATCTCCAAGCCATTCAAATACAAAATTCACATGTGGTATATCATGTTTTTAAGAGAAAATACTAGATGCTTGTGTTCTAACATTATCCATCTCTTTTATAGCTGACCACCATTTTCTGTTTCCGTGCTGTAGAAGGCATGACAATGAATGTTTAAGCTCTCTTACTACTTACACATCTTGTTTGCAGTGAAGTTTCAAAGAGACACTTGTGTAAGCTATAAAGATTTTTACATTGTAACACTGTTTATATCAGCTTCCTCAATAACACATAAAAAGGCCTTATCCACGCAGAAACATTTCAATCACTGTATTTAGTTAGACGTGTATTTAAGTAATCAATTCTCACACACCTAAAATTCTCAAGAAATAATTAGTAATTCTTCCTCTATTAGAAGATTTTGCTTTTCACTAGAAAAGTGGATCAGCAATCACTGCAATATTCTGTAACATTATTTTTAAGAATACAAATAACTGACCCTTCCCATTCTCCCTGTCCTTATCCTCAGCCTGGGGTCCTTGGCAGTACTTCCCCCTTCCCATGCCAGAGGAACCCAGGGAGGCAGAGAAGAGCTGGTGCTTCCTCAGGAACTGAACTCCCACAGGAAACCCTCCCTGCATGGCCACCCCTACAAACTGCAGGCAAAGGCAAACCCCACATACCACTAAGATGGGTGGGAACACAAACCACTAGGGATGCTACAAAAGGGCATCTGTTTCACACCATTATGGAGCCACTTTGTCAGAAAGTTATCTGTACCCTTTAACATTCATCTGCATGAAAAAGATTTGCCTCTCTTTTCCCCCTGCCTCTTGTTTTCCTGAAGCCCCCAAATCTCTTCCTGACCCATGTCCTTAGTCCTCTGAACACACTTTCCACCAGGGCTTCAGGGTTCTTCCCACTCCATGTCCACCAAAAGATGTCCCAGTCTTCCTGTATTATCAAAGTCATGCTGTTCATGGCCACCAATTCAACCTGCATCAAAGTAATGTCTAGAAGTAGCCACCTCTACCAAGGGTGCTCACACCAGCAGACAGCCTCTTGCTATCTACAGCCCTATGTCTGCACCACGTTACTCTGAAAAAGGCTGAAACAAAAAAAAAGAAACCATTCCAAAATTAGCTGAGTCACTGGAAAACTGAGAAAGTTGGCAACACTATGAGTTCAACACTAACTCAATGAAAGAGGTTTACAATCTGGATAATACAACAATTTTGCCATAGAATAATTAGTGCAGGCAATGATTTGGCATTTTTTACGGGGCAGGTTAGCTCCTTGGTTGAATGCAAGTAGATTGCATTCCCTGCATGATGCAAGCTTATTTCTTATAACATCTAAAGATACATGATACCACTATAACCTAATTTTTAGAGGTATAAATATCCCCAAACTGTGATTACATAGCTGTGATGATGAAAGTATGTAGTCTTTTCCAGTGTCTTTTTAATATTACTCTACTAGTTCCTGCACAGCATGATCAGCATCATGGTTCTGCATGTTAACCATGGTTTTGCAGGTTAGTGAACCCTAATGTGACATTATCTGTCTACCATGATTGCTCATTCCATATTCTTGCCTGAAAAGGCTCCATTCCTAAATTAAGTGAAAAAGTTAACCATCATGTCCATTCACTTTTTAACTCCTCAGTCCTCAGAATCTCTGCTAGGACCTGTAATCCTGGTGCTTGAAGTGCCGGATATTGGTTCAGAAGGATTAGAAAGTCATATGCTAGCCATTACTCATCTGGAAATATATATAAATATAAATAAATATATATATACTTTTGAAAGAGTTAAGAATGAAAGGTAGACTGCAGGGGATTATCTAAAGTAGTTTCTAAATGTCAGACGCTATTTTTTTCAAGAAGACTCCCCCAGCTTTTCTCTAATAATCTGTCAGACCATATCACGGATGACACTGGGAAAGAAGCACCTCCAAGTATTTCCAACCTGCCACAGCTTCTAACCAAACCAGTAATGATGGGACTCAAACTCTGATTTACCCCTGTGGCCCAGAAGAAGACCTTCTTGGTATGACACCTTCTTGGTCTCAAGACGATCGTAGATAATATATTTCATTAAAATATTTTTAATCCATACTAGATGCCTCTGTTTGTGGTGGATAAACTTTAATACACCATGGGGTTCATCCTTCTGCTAGGATGGGAGAAAAGGAATATAAAG